ACCTAGTGCATAAAAATGCACAATATGAAATTGAGTATATGAAAAACTAAGCCTCAAAATCATGACACAATAAGGGCATTATACAATCAAACATACAATGAGTCATAACGATCCTGAATGAGAAGGGTGGCACTGCGAAGCCATGTAAAAGTTCTCGAGATACCTCCCTTTAACCCTAGAATGAAATAGGGTTAGCAGTGACAAATCACCTAACACGCAACAAATACATAGCAAGAATGCAACACAACATATGTGAAATGACATACCATAGAGAAGTCTAAATGACTGCAAATATGCATATGTAACAAAATTCATAAATGCAAATAAATGTAACATAGTCCTTCTGCTCCGAAGGCAAAGAGGCTGGTATTATGAAGCCAAAATGCGACACCTATGCACCAGTCCCTTTGATCCTCTAACCAGTGCAAGGACCATGCTAACACACTAAATCTCTATATGTAGACATCTACTCCTTGGTAATGACCGTTCTCAACTTTTTTCTACCTCACTAGGGTGATCTGAATGGGTAAATGCAAAATAAAAGATTTGAAACCTACTTATAATAATCAATTTGGTAATTACAAGTTTGTTATAAGTCAGATCGATTATTCAGATCTAACGATTGCCACCCATGCAGAAGGGTCAGGAGGGCTAGTTCTCGGATCGATGATCTATAATGATCGGGGACCCGATCGTTCGGAATCACAGAACCCAACTTAAAGATATGGCTGAAAATTAAAAAAAAGGTCACCACTCATACAAAGGGTGTACCAAAGAACGGGAGGTAAAAACCTAGGGCTCAGCTTGATCTATAAAGGTCAAGAAACCAATAAATGTTCAACTAAATTGAACCGGACTAATCGGCAAGGTGACCAACAGTCGTTGCATTGCAACAAAGGTAGTGCAACGGCTACGCCCCTACAAGTAAGGAAAATGCCAGGTAGGCCTCACGCTGCAACGCTAATAAGTGGCATGGTTTTGAGACGGTGATCATGGTCCCACAACGCTGGAAAGCAGCATGCCGACACCAAGCCTAAAAAGGCCATGGCCTAGGGCCCACGAGCTTGGATTAGCAGTGTGCCTTGGCCTAAGGGGCCCAAGGCCTAGGGTCTTGGTTTCGAGAAACGACACCACGATTCTAGGTCAGAAAGACATGGAGTTTGGTGAGGTTGCGGCCTTGAGAGCAGGATCACAACACTGTGCCAACCCAAGATTGGAAGGCATCATGACATTGTGGAAACTATACCATTTTGCTATCCTAGAAAAATGGGCGGTGCCTAAGCAGACCCAAAAAAGCAATAGGGCACCACAATGCCCAAAAGGCATCACTAAAAGAGAAACAAAGGGGTTTAACCACTCAGTACACAAAAAAAAGAGGGGAAGAGGTTGGGAAACTTAATCTAATGGTTTTGTTTAACAACAACCTGAACTTAACCTCTCTAAAACAAAGCCTAGGAGCTCTAAGAAGACAGAAGCACGCTTGGGTTTAATAAAACCAAACCCATGCAAAGGTTGACAAAGTTCCTCATCTCAAAGACTCCAAGAATGGCTCCTCGAACTTCTCTGACTATAGAAAGCAACATCTCCGACAAACTACTTTAGAACAAGAAGGGCTTGGGGATGAGGTGTGGAAGGAAGCTCACAAAAAAAAAAAACAAATCCTGAGAAGAGCACTTACCACTGAAATGGGCGGTGGGGTTGGGCGAGGGGGAGGGGTGTTGTGGAACTCTCAGTTAGCATTAATGGGAGTTCAAGGGCTGGCTAGATCTAGAAATTTCAATCTTTGGAGTGCCCCTCTTAAAGGGCAAAAAATTTGGGTTTGGCGTTGCGACGCCATGCACGACGCGGGTCTGGCGTCGCGACGCCATGCTCAACGCTCGACCATTGTTGATGTGGCAAATTTTGAGCCGTTTGACAAGATACAGTTTGCGGCTCAAAATCTGACATTTTTGGCTGAGCGTCGTGACTTTATGATTCGACTCAAGTAAAGTGTATTAAAGATGAAATGTTATGCTTTTAATGATCTTTATAATATATTAGATACTAAAGTATATTAAAGTGATTCGAGCCGGTAAATTATGCTTTTAATGATCTTTATAATATATTAGATACTAAAGTATATTAAAGTGATTCGAGCCGGTAAATTATGCTTTTAATGATCTTTATAATATATTAGATACTAAGGAGGGTGAAAATATATGTATAAACTGGCCAAACAAAGAGAAAAATAAAGATTTGACTAAAGTAAAGTGTATTAAAGATGAAAATCAAAAAATACTTTTCTTAGAAAAAGATATTCAACATAAGTGGTTGAATTATTTTGATAAACTTTTTAATGAAGTTTCTGAAAATACGATCGGCCTTAGTGATTTTAATATCGTGAATAATAATAAAACTTTTCATTTTTACCATCGCATTAGTAAAAAAGAAGTTGAGGAGGCTTTAAAGAAAACCAAGGGTGGAAAGTCTGTAGGATCTGGTGATATCCCAATTGAGGTGTGGAAATATTTAGGAGATTTGAGAGTTTCTTGGTTTACTAAACTCTTAATATTATTTAAAAAAATTAAAAAGATGTCTGAGGAGTGAAGGAAGAGTATTTTGATCCCCATTTTTAAGAATAAAGGGGATGCACAAGAGTGTGCAAATTATAGAGGAATTAAGTTAATGTGTCATACTTTAAAGTTATGGGAGAAGGTAATTGAACACAGGTGAAGGCGCATTACAAAGATTTCTCATAATCAATTTGGATTTATGCCAGACAGGTCTACTATGAATACTATACTTTTATTGAGAGGTTTGATGGAGAGGTTCAAAGATAATACAGAGAATCTACATTTGCTTTTTATTGATTTAGAAAAACCTTACGATAAGGTTCCAAGAGATATCCTTTGGAGAGCTCTTGAGAAGAAAGGTGTTGATATGACTTATATTCAAGTCATATAAAGTTATGTATAGAATTGTTACTTATGTTCGAATAGAAGTAGGATTGACCAAATATTTTCTTATTTCAATTGGATTGCATCAAGGATCAACTTTAAGCCCATATCTTTTTGCCTTAGTTATGGATGCTCTTACTTGACATTTACAGAAGGATGTACCTTGGTGTATGCTTTTCGCTGATGATATCCTTCTCGTGGATAACACTAGAGAGAAAACTCAGGAAAAACTTGAATTATGGAGGTTTACATTGGAGTCTAAAGGCCTTCGTTTAAGTAAAAAAGTAGAATTAAAACTGAATACATGGAATGTAATTTTAGTAGTAGTAGGTCTAGTAACATAAGTGTGACTTTGGGTGATCAAATTATTAAAATGTGCGAACGATTTAGATATCTTGGGTCCGTTGTTCAAAGCGATGGTGATATAGATGAGGATGTTAATAGTAGAATTCAAGTTGGTTGGTTGAAGTGGAGGAATGCTTCGGGCCTTTTGTGTGATAGAAAAGTACCACTTAGACTGAAAGGAAAATTTTATAAGACGGTGGTGAGACCTGCAATGCTCTATGGCGCTGAATGTTAGCCTTTAAAAGAGAAGCATAGTAATAAGTTAAGTGTGGCCGAGATGAGAATGATTAGGTGGATGAGTGGCTTTACACTTAGAGACAAAATGCGAAATGAATATCCATGATAGGGTTGGAGTAGCTCCTGTGACGGACAAAATTAGAGAAAGTCATCTTAGATGGTTTGGTCATATTAAACGTCGACCATGATGATCCGATTAGGAGAGTAGATGTTTTAGATTCGACTTGTGTTAAGAAAGGCAGAGGTAGACCTTGGAAGACTTGGGCTTATTGTATAAAAAATGATATTAATTTACTAGAACTAAATGAAAATATGACACTAAATATGACGCAATGGAGAAAAAAGATTCAGGTTGCCGACCTTACGTAGTGTGATTAAGGCTTTCTTGTTGTTGTTGTTGTTGCCGTGGCTCCATGAGTGGCTTCGTGACGCTGTTGGTGTGGCACCTACACCCATCTAATTTGATGCCGCCTTCATGACCATAAAAAAAAGTTGACCCATGGTGTTGCGAGCCTTCACTGATGCAGTGATTTTGCCATGTGGCATTGTGCCTTCGTTATGTTCTCCATCTTTCAATTTCCTTTCCAGAATAAGGTCATAATAGCGATTTGAAGGTATCGGTGCAAAGTTATGGCAATTTCCTCGAGACTGTTCTTTGAGGCATTTTTGGTGAAGCGATGGACTCAAAACGGGCTAAAACTCGCAAAATTTTGCCAAATTTGCATGTTTGCGATAAAATATGCTAAAAATGACTCCAACTCGTTTTGTTTTCAAGTAAAAAATAAACAAAACAATATTAAAATAAAAATAAAAAATAAGATTTGAAAGTGATGCCAAACAAGTTCTATGTTTCCATATAATTTTGAAAGTATTGGAAAAATACTCACATTTTAAACTTCAAAAAATATATGCTTGTGTTTTACATACATGAGAAGTACTGCATGCTTCAGTCGACATGTCAAGAGTATATTTTCAATTTAATTCTATTATCTATTAATTTTAATTAACTAACTCATGTTTTTTATTCTGAATTTTAAATTAAAAGATATATAATACACAAATGTATCAGTATCTATCGAATACGACTTTGCCATATTTTACAATCGTTTTTGGTTGATGCTTTCTGCAGCCATGCTGCACTACTTATTTCTAATTTAATGTTAAGTTAGAATTGTATTGACATTGATAATAATTTTGAAAGTTTATACAGAAAAGGATTATTTTAGATGGTTTTGCCATATAAATTGATAATTAGTTAGTAATACGGCTTTATTGTATGGATAAGATAGCGATAGTTTTAGTTCTTTTGAGTTATGGTGCTGTAATCAAAGCAAGATAGCAGTGTGTGGTTTCTTACTTTATTTTTGGTGTTTATAATGTTTAAGAATTTAATAATTGTTTTAGGTAGTTATTTTTTCGCTGTGCTATTTAAATCTATCCTTTTATTATTATCTGGTGATTCCGACTTGATTTATCATGCAGGCTTTGCTATATAGGCTTTCTGGTGATTACAATCCTCTGCACTCTGATCCTATGGTTGCAAAAATTGCTGGGTAAGCTGTCATATTGATGAAACTTTAGCTACTTTTTTCTTTTTAATTTTATTTGAGAATTGGCCGTTTTTTATGCCCAACTTCTCCTATTACCGTTTGGAATATAAACATTTTTGTTTCATCCACGAAAAGGGTAAATAGTTAAATCTAAGCCATTAAAACAACCTGATGATGTGATATGTAACATGAAAAGGAAACAATACAACTTTTTATAGAGTAAATAGCCGAAGTAGTTTTAAGGCCTTCTTGGTGTGTTAATTGTAGTCTCAAAATTGTGTGTTAAATTTAGTCCGTCAGACTTCAACTTTCCAAAAATTAACCAATCAACTTTATTTTTATTTTGGATACATTTAGGTGGAGAAAACGTTTATATGAGCTCATTTAAAAATTTTCACAGCCAACTTATTACTTACGGTCTGTCTGGTAGCAGTATTATTGCTTGCAGTACTTTCAGATTATCGCCATAGTTCCGTTGGAGAATTCTTCTTCTGTTGCTTTCAAAAATTTTGTGTGTGGAAAATTGCTTTTTGTAATTAGATTTGTTAACGTATGGTGGTTGTAAGAAAGTTGCAATCTGACTTTTTGGAAATAAAAAAATATGTTTATAATTCCCACTACATTTTTCTAAAAAAATTGCTCTCCCCATCATAGATTTACAATCACCTTTATAAAAGGCTGCAACCACTTCAAACATACCTTTATATTAGTTAAAACCAATGAGATTGACCCTTAAAAGTATTAAATGTTCTCATGAAAAGCCTCTTCTACCAACTTCTCCTATCTAAAGAAGCGATAATGTTGATGTAGGACTAAATAGGCTCTAATTTAGTGAGTTGAGGGACCAAATTGACCAAGGGGTTGTTTGGTTGTCTGCAAAAAAAAAAAAAAAAAAAATGCGGAGAAAAAGAGAATGCAGTGTATTATGCATTTGTAGGCTGTTTGGTTGTCTGTAAAGTAAAAACGGGAATTATCTTTCCTGTTTGGTTAATACACATGTAAAGTAAAATAAAAAAAATAGTATATTCAAAATATCCGAGCATGTTTGGTTCTGTAGAGTAGATACAAAAACATTACTTTTATTTATATTCTTCACACATTTCATAAATAATAATATATTATTTTAAATGTAGCTTTTTGTTTGATAAAATATTATATTTTAAAAATAATAATATATTTTCACACATTTCATAAATAAAAATGAAATCATCATTATAAACTTCCCACCTAAATTCATCATTTTTCACAAATTATATTCCTCCTCAAAGAACTAAGCAAGCGTTGAGACTGCATATAATATTTATTTTTACATGTTTTGTGACAACTCGAACCTTTTGGTTTACAAAAAAGCATCTTGTATCTTGTAATACATCTTAAGCATATAATTAATCCATGGAGCGGTTTCCTTCATATCCACATTCCGTCCAACCTGCTCTAGCGTCAACACAAAAAATAGTTTTGCAACATTATGAGCACAGACAGAAGCACCATCTTAAGCATTCCAAAAACAAGGAAAGATAAGATTATGAAATGTAATTCAACTTCATCGCAGAAAATGCAATAATACCCAAAGTATGTGAAGCAATAATACCGAAAAAGTAACAAACCATCCAAATCGAGATACATAAGCTCTAATACAAAAAAAAAAATTCATAGATAAATAAAGTACTTTGGCCGCTAAAAATTTCAAAAAACGTGCCCAAATATGAATTCAAATTCACTACATATTCAAACGTTCAAGATAAAATGCTAAGTGATATCAAACTAACGAAATTAGTCTCTCATTCATCCTCATAGAACTTGTCATTTGTTCAGCTCACTCCTGATCAACCTAGCCTTAGACTCCACTGACTTCGAGAGAAATGCATGAGTCATTGTTGTGTTCTTCGATAATTTATCAAAAACAATGTCAGTTTCTTCCTCTAAGAATTCTAGAATATTAGACAATGTTGTCTTTAACTCGATGAATATTTTTTTATATTTTGAGGCTCTTGTTGTACTTTTTATAGCACTTACAACTTCACTGACACTATTAGCCATCAGAGTAATGTAGTTATGAATGTTGCGATGATCAGTAGAACTTTGCTTTTTTTTTTGAGCCGCACCCCTTCGAGAAGGATGACATATCTCGCTTCATTATTTTTTTGCTACCTTATTATACTTTCATTTCAGGCAACTGCATACGAAGTGATGCATCTTCTCCAATCTTTTCAAAAGCTTCAATCTCTTCATCCAATTTTTTTTGTTGGGTACCAAGAGGAGTTTGACTATTTCCTGACTTAACCCAATCTCCACTAGCATGAACTTCACCGCATACCTTCTCCAACTCCATATAATTTGCAATGGGAACATTTAAGAGTGTTGCATCTCTAGGAAAAACCAATGACAAATAAACATAAATCAGGGAATTTATTTTATTTTCTGATTTGTTAAAAAAGTACTTTAGTAATAGTAATACCTAAATATGAGATATGTATTCTTCAAGACCCATTAATATAAATTTTTTCTTATCCCAAAACATGCCAGATTTTTTCTTTATTTCCTGAATTCGAATCTATAAAGTTCTTTGGTGTCGAATTTGGTTATTACATTACTCCCTTGTAACTTCAATTCCAGATTTCTCTTTCAACTATTGAGCAGCTTCTTGGTAAACGGACTCCTTAAATCCTTGGGCACTTTGCATATTCAAATAAATATATTCAACATTAATTTGTAACAACTTGGTGACCTACTCAGACTTTAAGTTCCACATGAAGTTTTTTCTTTTCTAGCTCTTTGAAACAACTAGAGTGATTGATTGTTGTGTATTCATAATTCAACCAATAATAAATGTGCTACAAATACATGACAAAATTTAAAGAATATTTTTAGTGCCGCAATAAATTCAAGATATACTGTTTAGTGGAAAAAAAAGAAAGTTACTTGCAAAGAAAACATATAACAAACATAAAAGAACAAATGCCTTCACAAAAAAAGTATTTTTTGAAATTTAAAACTGTCAAAGTCCAAAAGTGAGTATCTGCGTATTGGTTTCGTGCCATCAAAGTGGTCAGCTAAATAGGCCGGCCTATGTGACCAGTTGTGGCGTACTAACTTACCCCAACAAAGCACTAGTAGGGATATGTGGAAACTCCACAACCTTTAAGCTCTGGCTCGTGCAGGGCGATTACTTGCATTCCCGAAGTCCCTGAAGTCTTAAAAGAGGCTGAGGAGGATCTCGATTCAAAGAATCCAGAGTCTTGGAGATTCACAGCTAATTAAAAAAATTAATGTTAAATAACATTCCAGTTAATAGCCAATGGTATTCATGTGATTTGACATGACAACAGATATTTGATCTATTTTTTCTTAGCCTGTCTTGAGAGCCATCTAAAATGTGTTCATATCTTCTTCTAACACGACCTTGTCTGACCCATTCATTTTCTACAACAACAATAACAAGCCTTTATCCCACTAAGTGGGGTCGGCTACATGAATCTTTTTTCTCCATTGTGTGCTGCTGAGTGTCATATTTTCATTTAAACTAATAATTTAAGATTTTTTTTTTATACAATATGCAAAATTCTTTTTAGGTCTACCTCTGCCTTTATCAACATAAGTCGAACCTAAAACATCTACTCTTCTGACCCATTCTTCTTCTGAGATAACAAAATTATTCCCACCTTCAGTGAGTATCCCATTATGTAATATGCAACAGACAATTACAATGTCAGCTTGATTTTCTAATGGAAAATACAATTTGCTCTTTAAAATTGCAAATTTGTTCTTCAATGAACCAAAAACACGCTTCACGGTTGTGTGTAGAGATGAGTGTCAAAGATTGAGTAACTACTTATAATTTGTTGGTGTAATGCAACTAAACTCCTTTAAGTGATTTCTTGTTGCACGATAAGGAGAGATAAAATCATTTTTTAATTGAGTAACCACCATCAGCTAAGTAGTATTTGCCTACAATAATTAATAAAAAAATATAACTATTTATGTTATTTAATATAAACCCAATTTATATACCTTCTGGAACACATAAACCATCAGATCGTTCTCATGCATTTCTAAGGATGATTGCATAATGAGCTGAGCCTTCCCAACCTGCTAAAATATATGTAAACCTTAAGTCGAAGTTCACTGCTGCCAACATATTTTGACTTGGATATGGTTTTCTTCCTCTGATGGCGGATTCATATTTCTTTAGTACTCTAGCCTTAATGTGTGTATTGTCTAGGGCGCCAACACAATCCTGTTCACGTAATTATTTTAGAAAAAAAATCTAGTAAAAAAGTATGAATTATTATTTGTGAATATACCTTAAAAAAGGGCATAAATATAGAATTTGCTTTCGTTTTATACGGAGTTTGGAGTAGTGGAGGTTTAGTAATTTCGCGTCGCATATCTCTAATGGCAAATAACACATTGTTGAAGTACCTACTAATAGTTTCTCCTAATCTTTGAAACTTGAATTGTATGACTCGATTACGAACACTGTGACCAAGTGCATGTTGAAACATAGCAACTTGTTCTACTATGCGCACATAGCTTATTTTGACAAGCGGTCTTCTTGTTCGCAGTAAGTTGCACAACTTGAAAAAGTATTCTTTTCTTATTCGCATGATGCTTAAACAATCAGAACTAGAACCAAGATATAATCTAGAGAGATATTTGACGTTGGACATCTCGTTTAGGATTGTAATTTCTTATTTGACTTCTCGCATCTAAAAAAAATTATATACTACTCACTGCGTTAGTGATAAGTGCATAAATAATTGAATGATATTGCTTAATATAGTCTGACAAGTTATCATAATCGGCAACCCTTCTTCATTGTTTTCTATTCGTTCATCCATATTTATAATACATGCGTATACATTATCAAATTAGTTTATAGATTAAACTATTCCATGTGAGATAAAATATAAAATTATTGTAAATTGCCCCACCCAACACTTATCAAATATTTATATAACATTTCACCTTTGTAGGAACATAAAATTGTCATTTATCATTCTATCTAGGAAGGGATGATAATTTAAAGAGGAAGCTCATTCCTATCATATTTATCATCCTATCTAGTAAGCTTAGCTGTCGGAGTTGATTCACCAACCAAGGCACAGTCCATTGTCATCTAAATACATCAACATGTTTTCTTAGGTAATTTATTATTTCAACCAGACAAAATTAACAGGTTTGAGTAAAATCCTACCGGAGTTTTGCAGTGATGCCTTCCTAACAAAAGTATAGAAGAACCATATAATGAGCTCAAGGTAGGCCTTCCTTTAAGAAAATCACTAAAACAAATAGACAATTGGAATCACCAAAGCTATTTAGAAACAATAAAGAAGCACAAAGAAAAATGACAAGATTAAGATTTTTTATTTTTTATTCTCTATGTTTATGTGATTATTCTTTAATCCTGCATAGCATAACAGAAAATAACCAATAAAAATCAAAATCGCAGAAAAAACAAAATAGGAACTAAGAAACTTAAAAAAAAGAGCAGGAAAAACAACAAGTCTGAAAAGAAAAGTCCCATTCATCACAGGAACAGCCTCACAGATCTAATTCAGGCCTAGTAGAGAGCAAAAAACCACTCAAATTGAGAGCAAACAGAAAAGATGAAAGATAAGAAACAAAGAAAGCCTTACCTTCCTGATCGATTTCCCCTGCCGATCGAATTTGTAATCAACTTCCCTTACCTTTGAATCTCCCAAAACAGAGAGAGAGAGAGAGAGAGAATGGCTTTAATGGCCGGCCTTCCTCCCTAAATAAATCGAAGAAGACTATCTGTTTTTGGTCAATTACGAAAAGATCATCTCCCACATTAGCTTCCGATTTGCTCTCCAGGGCGCGCTCGGCATGGTTGTCGGCAGGCTCCTCCCTTCCCTCCCCCATCCCCGACTCTGCCGTTCTCCGCCTCTTCCGCCTCCCCTCTCTCAACCCCCGACACCAAGCTCTTTCTTTTCCACCACCTCTCATGCCTCCCCTCCTTCTCTCCTCCTTCTTCCTCTCTCTCAGCAAAAAAAAAAAAAATATCTATATCTGGAGAGTCGTGCGAGGCTCGTGCGAGGCAGGAGAGAATGACCATCAGAGAGTTGCGCAATTGTCTGGGACTCGGAGGTCAGTATCACCTAACAGGGGAGAACAACATCAGGGAACAAAATAATGTATTCAAGGTCTTTCGCGTGAAAGGAAGGAGAAGGGGGAATAGTCGTGCGGTAATTTGATTTTGCAAGTTTGACCGCATTTTTAATGCCGAGTTTTTTTAACTATTATGGGAAATATAAATTTTGTGGTGTTTTAATTTTACTTTGCGCTTAATGATAACCAAACAACAAAAAGTCAAAATTCCTGTATTTATTTCACTCTATGCCTTTTTTACATCAAACCAAACAGCCCCTAAATAAATCCAAGGGCCATTGAAATTACTCAACTTTTCTATTTTCAAACTACTCTTAAGCATAGTTTACAGCATGGTTATGGCAATTTTTTTTTCTCCTCCACCTGTCATCCTCATTTGTGCTTTCTGTTCCATTCTAAACTTTTCTTTACAGATTTTCCCTGATTCCTTTTTGATAAATAATTTGTGACCAAATTGATCATGCGGACATTAACTTGAATATATGGTTTATTTGGATTGAATTGCACGTAGATTTGATCGACCGATATTGCACGGCCTATGCTCCCTTGGATTCGCTATCAGAGCTATCATCAGATCTATTTGCAATGGTGACTCGACGGCTGTGAGGAGTATATTCGGTCGCTTTCTTCTCCATGTGTACCCAGGGGAGTCTCTAATTACAGAAATGTGGATAGAGGGTCCAAAGTAAGATTCAATTTCTTGTCTATATCAGACTTTCAGTTTATTTATTTGCTTATTTATTTTTTAAAATATAGAGGCATTTACATACATACCACAAAATTCCTATGTATTTACATATCTAACACCTGAGCATTCACATTTAAATGAACACCACTCAAAACTTTTAACATCACATCAAAATATCACCATCACTATTTTTTTAAAAGTGAAATATACATTTTCATGCATAGGTTGATGACACTAAGGTTTTATAATTGTCAATATGAAAATTTAAGTTTTAGATATGTAATTACCTAATATGTAAATTTCCCTAAAATATATTTACATTTATGTTCTAGGGTCATATATCAAACGAAGGTGAAGGAGAGGAATAAGGCAGTCCTTTCAGGTTATGTAATGCTCAAACACATTCCTTCCTCATTGTAGACTATTATGCATGTTCTTCCATACAGTCGCTTGTTAACTTTTACTTGTGGTAATAATTTGCAAGTAGTTCTACTGTACTTGTATTAATAATATTGAAATACCTTGTATTGTAAATAAGAGGGTTTAACATTCATACCACATAATTCTTATGCATGTATATATCTAACACCTAAGCTTTATATTTATGTACATAACACTTTAATGTCATCATTACAACCAAACATATGCATGAAAAAGAGTATTTTACCTTGGAAAAATTAATATTAGTATTTTTTGATGTGATATTAAAGATTTGGTTTTTGAACAAGTAAATATTAAAGTTTTGATGTTATTAAGAAGTGTGGTATGTAAATTCCTCATAAACTAAACTATATGCATATAAATTTTCATAATGATTTGTGTTCATACTAACGGTAATTTTTTATTAATTGTAATTTCCTCTTCCTCTTTGTTGTTGTTGTTGTTTGAGAGCTTTCTTAATTTTCTACTGAAGCTGAAACTGACGCCTAACGAACGAAAAAATATTACATCAATACTACGCACGTAGAAATAACGTGCGTAGCCACTGAAATTGCCACAACGATAGGGAAAAAAAACGGCGCAATAACACGGGGAATATTCCCCCTGTGTTATTCATGTGTTATTACGTGTTATTCATGTGTTATTGCGTGTTATTCATGTATTATTGATGTGTTATTGTGTTATTATAACACCAAGAATATTCTCAGGACAGAATAACACATGAGTAACACACAATAACACCTGAATAACACGGGGAATATTCCCGACAGAGAAAAAACGAAGCAACGAAACCGCCCCGTGTTATTCATGTGTTATTGTGTGTTATTCTCATGAATAACACATGAATAACACACAATAACACATGAATAACACGGGGAGAATATTCCCCGTGTTACTGCGTCGTTTTTTTTCTCTGTGGCGCGGAGTGTCATGGCGTAATTTCATTGGCTACACACATTACTCTACGTGCGTAGTACTGATGTAATATTTTTTCTCTAATGAACACCTTTGAATTACTGCAAGCATTAGATTTTGTATTGACTGCACAAAGATTAGTGGCCTATAAGGAATTTACGATTTTTCTAAGCGGCATTCATAAATACCTCTCAATTCTTGTATTCTTACATATTTAACACCAAAACTTTTATATTTATATGCTTAGCACTCAAATCTTTAACATAACATAAGAAGATGCTACTATTAACTTTTCATGCATAAATGATATCATTGTTTTATACATAGAAATATAGAAGTTTAGATGTTTAGATATGTAAATACGTAAGTATTGTGTGGTTTGTTTGTAAATTTCCCTTTTCCTAATTAGTTTGTAGGCAAGCACATCCCATCAATGGCAAATTCATGTTATGAAGTGGGAAGGGGTGAAATGATATATTTAAAGTTTCATATTTCTGATATGATTATATCAATGAAATATATTATTCAAATTGAATCAAACATAAATAGGGTTTATAAATTTCACAATATTTTTGAGTTAGACCAGGATTCCTAAAAGTATCCACGAAGAATTTGACACGACAGTAATTTTCTTTATTATGATTTAGTTGAATAACGCAAGAATTATAAATATTGCATGTCAAAGTCATCTTAGAAACTTCCCTTAATATAATTGAGCTTTGATTAGCCCATCTATTTGTAACCTCATTGGCTCATATATGCTTAGGCTTGTTCCCTTTTGATCCAAGTGATCCTTTGATGAGGAACTACTTATCTTGGCTTGAGCGAAAGGTTAACATAAGTTAATTTACTAGACTATGAGGTTCTTAGTATTGACTCAATTTGAATTGGACATACACGTGACTTAATATTCCCTCAGGGTTGACTAAGTCAAAGTCAACTTACCTAATTTGACAAACCTTAGCTAATTGTTCCATTTTTTTTTTGGCCTCAGATGAAGTCAACCTAAACTAGACCTAGCTTTTTTCTTCAACCAAACCTCATAGAATTTATTTGGGTGCACCTAACTTCTCTCTAACTAAAACCTAATGGGACTTGGGAAACATTAATTAGGGCCCTTAAGTAAGGTGATTAACCTAATCATTGGATTTAAACTTAGCTTAACTTGGGTTCAACTTAATCTAATTACAATTAAAGTTATATTTCTTTTCTACTAAGGTGTACTCAATCATAAGTGGTCCTCATTGAGTTGAATTGAGTTCAATCTCCCACATATGATGCTTAAATGGGCCTAATAACAAATCTAAGCTAATTCAAGTTAAATCGAAACGATGATGACCTCCTCTACATATTAATTCATTTTAATCTATTATATAATAATGAATAATGATTTATATACTTATATGCCCACATGATAATGGTAATGATTGATAAACGTATGTGTTGAATCTTGTTAAGATATAAGGTCCCGTATTATCCGTGGGTATATACAACTTGGTGAAAGACTCATTTTTAGGAAGAGTGGTATATGGAGTGTGTAAGGTTGATGAGATTCTTGGAAGGAACTTTGAGGATAATATTAATTTTTGACCTTCGGTGAATCGAGGGAAAGTGACTCCTTAGAGGTTTCTTCAGTTTACAGAAGAGAGAGAGAGAGAGAGAGAGAGAGAGATATCTTGGTTGGTTATGATGGCTTTATCGAATTGTTGCCTCCATAATAATAGGTCTAAGTCATCTCCTTGAGTAGGAAGACGATAAGTTAGACCAGCTTCTTCCTCATTTGGGCTTAATTAAGCCACATCGATGAGTGAGGTTGATCCAGCCACTTCGGCAGGTGGGCTCGATCCTACCACTTCGGCAGGTGTGCTCGGCTCTGTGAGATAAAAGTAAATTACAATTTTTGTATATCCGTATTTGTGTATACATCTTGTTCATTGATTCTCTCATTTTTTAGATTGGATTTCCGCAAGTTGAATGATAGAATAATGACTATTTTGTTCCTTCGAGACCTTAAAGGCAGAGAAGAGGCTTCTCTTGAGAATATGTTCTTTTATCCTCAGGGCTCATCGGCTTATCCTTCAAGGTATTGGATTTCTCTGTGTGTTAATAACGTTCCAGAACTAGCCTTCGCCTGAGAGCATCTTGTTCTTCCTTTTTAGGGAGATGTCCCTGACTTTGTGTTTTCTGTCACAAAATCTACTTTTTCTTCAGGCGCCTAGGATTTCTCGTGAAAAAGGAATTTATTTTGATTCAACCCTCCAACATGCTGAGGTTTGTTGAGGTGTTTTTTCATCATTTTGGGTTTCTTTTCTCGGAGGAAAGTCGGGTCTGGTCTGAGTCAGGATACTTTGCTTTTTGGCACAATTTTCAGGGATTGAATGCAAAAGGTAAGTTAGGAAATTTAAAGAGCATTAATTGTAAAATTTATTAAGACTTAAATAATTGGACTCCATTTTGGGTTTTACGAACGAAGGTAGAGCTTCACATTGTTTCTTTGGTCATCTTTTACTTTTAAAGGGAAAACCAAATCTTCAAGATGAAGTTTGAGCTATATCGTTAGGAGAAATCCTTCGTCGTAGGGAACGAGAGAAGTTGGAAGAGGAGGCTCGACTTCTTTTGAAGAAGAAGCCTCAGAAAGTAGCCATTAGGTCGAAAAGGGAAGGGATTTCTGGGAAGGTGTCCCTGGATTTGAATGACACGATGGAAGTTCACTCTTCTGTTGTGCCAGGGGGATCAGAACAACAGTTGCTTCCGACCGCCATTGCTCTTGATTTGTCTGGTGAGGAATTTCATTTTTGGTGTGCACTTATTTGCTTTGCGTTTTCGAACTTCGTGTATTTTTTTGTTGATTAGGTGTCAAGCATGTAGGCGGTTTTGAAGGTCAGACTTCCCACCAATATGAGATTCGGTGCAGATGGAGGGCGTGACCCATAAAGATTTGGTTGTTCATGATATGATTTTAGACCCGAGTGAGGTCCCCTTGCCCGTTTAAGATAATGTAACACTGCTTTATCCGTTCGAAACTTTCTCTCTTGATGAATACGATCATTTGTTGCTTTTAGAGGTGTTGGCGAGCATGGTATGAGGGAGCTTGAAATAGACAAGATAGAGCTCGGGAAACCATTAGATAGGGAAGAACCCGTTGCAGATGATGTAGAGAAAGTTGACCCACTTGCTAAGAGTACTTCCAATCCATCTGAGATAGATCTGCCAAACCTCAAGATTACGAAGAATCTCCTTTCATCTTTGGAAAATCACAAGGTGTAGAGGGATTTTTTTTATCAAGTTAGTGGGTGAGCTCGTGGAGGCCTGAGATGGCATTGTTGGGTTGGAGACCAGAGTTATTGAGCTGGAGGCTAATGATTACTTTGTTGACATAAAGCTTCAAGAACATGAGGGAAATTTTGAGAGGGAGATGGTCTTAATTTGCAAGTACTGCAAGCTGAGTCCGCCTCATATTCGTGATGTGAGGAGGGGATGGAGGATCTGAAGGCTAAAATGAAGTTTTTCAAGCAGTGTACGGAGTTGGGGAGTCCGGACAATTACGTGGCTGATTGTCGGATGTCGGATGTCGGATGTCGGATGTTACCACAATGCCTCTTTAATTCTAGAACCATTATCATTGAATGCTTAAGAAAAAATATCATTTTGATTTTCTTTGCTTGAGCATGCCATTCAACCGTGCAGTATATGTACTTTTCTAATGTACAAACTTATACTGTATTTGCCCGCTTTTTTGAATGAACAGGGGAGAAGGTTTCTTGCTTCCTTGGATATCAATTTTTTTTTCTGTTGCTTTATCTTTGTTGTTTCGTGTTTCAGAATTAATAATTTCTTTTGAAAGTCGTACTAGTTGGGCTTCCTGTTATCTTTATTAAGAAGAAGACAATACTTGACTTTCTTTACTCATGTTTTATTTCCTTCAGAGTATTTTTTGAGTTTGTCTTTTTCTTCAAGATACTTTAATGACACCCGGTTATGACAAGAAAGGAGGCTCTCTCCCGTCGGAGAAAGTTCAAGGGAGTTCCTAGATAGAAGAGTATAAGGTAGAGAGAGCCCAGTCTGAGTTTATTTTTGATCACATTGTGGTTTTGAGAGATACGAGGGGGATGAAACCTCCGCTATCACGTACAAACATGAAATTTGTGTCTTCTTTGAACAATTGTGTTCGGGTTTGTGTTTCCCCTTTTGTGCATAGTTGGCTGACATTCTGAATTTCT